TTGGGCTGTCCCACTCCCTATGAATGTGTCTCTGCACATCCTGTGCACTTCACGTGGCACACATTGCACTCTTCCCAGCGAGGCAAAACCCAGCCCTTTGCCTGCAGCCCTGGGGCACACAGTGCCGGGCAATAGTAGCAGCTCCCAAGCCCAAGGAACCCTGGGCACCCCATGCTTATGGCCATCCCACTGCAGCTCTCCTGTGCCTGAGGTCTGGGGCTGCAGCTCCATGGTGGAGACCTTCACACATCCCCACTCCTGCAGCAGCCCTGCTGTCCCCCACCTCAGCTGCATCCCAGCCCAGCCTCACCTGTGCTCGCTGTCCCTTGGGGTCCCGGCAGCCTGCAAAGACCCACTCCGGTGGGTTTGGCAATGCCAGCAGGTGCTGCACAAACCCCAGGCCGATTCCCCGGTTGGCCCCAGTCACCAGAACGGAGCGGACACGCAGCTCTCCCATGTTGCTTCTCCTGCCTCTGCTCCAGCTCACGTTGTTTGTTGGGTGCCCGAATGCTTCTTATAGCATGCTGAACTTCCACCCCACCCACACAGAGCTTGCGCAAACCCTTGGTTCTGGGTACAATCTCACCTGCTCTGAACTGTCCAGGTAAAAGCTCATGGCTGGAAGCCAGCTTTACTAAAGGACAAAAATCTCTTTGCTTTTTTAATTCCAAACTGGCTGTCTGATGGTTCCTGACCCCCTAAGTCGATTGCCAGCAGCAGCCCAGTCCAGAAGAAGTTGTGGTGTGTGAGGAGAGTGGAAGCAGCAAGTGGGAAGGACACACGATGCCCTGTGGCTCTGCAGGACTTCCACTGAGCTGCTCCATCAGCATCACAAGCCAGAAGTGCTTTGCGCATCGTAGCCATGCATAGACCAGTCTGAGATGATCTCATTTTCCTTTCCCTGCGTGTCTCAGTCAGACTGTTGCTCAGATGGCCACAAACTGATGTTCTGTGCTCTCCTTTGTTCCAAGCAAATGCCCCATCCCCAATGCTTCCGTTGGCAGAGTTGTTCTTCCGAGCACTGAGTCCAAAGCCACAGCACAGGCTGATGGGCAGATGAGCTGTCATTGTGGGATGAAGTCACTGTACATGGGGTGAAGTCACTGTACGGTGCAGACGTGTTGGCTTCTGCCATTGTGTTGTCTTGGCAGTGGTGTTAAGCAGAGCATCTTCCCTGCAGCCAGGCTGCCAGAACTACTCCAAAGCCCTGCTGTGCCCAGGCGTACATCCTGGTGACCCCTGTGCATGTCAGGCCAGTCTTAAGATCACTGTGGAGCCACCAGAGCTGGTCGTCCTGCCTGCCTCACTCCTCTCCCACTACCATTTGCCAGCGCCCACATTTGGGCACTGTCCTGAGGCAATATGGCCCGGCTCCATGAAAAATTGTGTCTTCTGCTCCTTGCCTGCTGTCACCAGGCTCTCCCTGTGCCTGCCTTGGGCTATCACAGTACTTCTTAATCCAGAACAGGACAGATCAGTGGGTTTTGTCATATCAACGTGCTCCTCATCTAGATGTGGATCCCACTGCTGATAAATACCTCACTGGTGGTGATCAGTTTGTGGCCAGAGCTGTTAGAAATAATTTTACATAAAACATTTTAAAACTTCTGCTGTCGTGGCCTTGAAACACCATTTCCATGCACACGGCTGTGAGAGAGCTGAATTTTGGACACCCAGCCACCACATCTCAGTAGGAGACACAGCCCAGCTCAGATGTCAGAAGTGCACACAAATCAGCCTCCTGTGTGGCACAGGACTGGCATGCAATGTTTGCCATCAGGCCATACCCAAAGATTCCGCTTCTGGACCTGGGGGGAAAATTTCCCTGCTGACTTGTTTGTTCAGTTCTGCTGCTGCCGTTCACCAGACTTTGCACACAGGTACAATATCATCATGTTAAGCACTCCCCTTTCATTCACTTAGGTGGACATTGTGACCTGGACAACACATTTACCCTTTCCTTTCCGCTGTCTGTTGCTTTTATTTCATGACACGTCCTCCTCGTGGCCCCACACAACTTTCTGCACCATCATGCTATGGTCTGTTCCTGCTGTGCTAGCCAACTGAGGCCATGCTTTCAGCTCCGTGGTGCAGCATCGCTCTGTGCTCATCACCACTTTGAACCCCTGAGTCTTCCAGCTGTCTCTCCCCACGAGTTCTGTCTGAGGCTGATCTCTCCCTGGGTGCTGTTCATTCCCTCTGCCTCAGCACACCTCCCAAACTGCAGGACTGCCTTTCTACACCCAGATAATTCTTTCCCATGGCCTTTTCCTCTAATTTCACTATCTTTCCATGGCCAGAGGTAGCAGATATATGCCATTTGCAGTCGAATGCACTGCCCTTTCACAGAATAGTCTTCCATGGTTTTCTTTTTCTACATCATCACCCACAGTGCGATAGAGAAGTTCAGGGTGCCTCAGAACCAGATAAAACCAAAAGCATCTCTTTCATCTCTCCTGTTTCTGCTGTGTCATGTTGGCTTTGAACCTTTCCATTGTTTGAGAGCTGTAATGGTATACTGTTGACTTTGCTCTGGGGCCTCATGCTGGACCATAAAATCCTAAACAAGCATGCCTTTAGCAGGGTCATAGTCCAGCCTGGCATGAACACACCCAGAAGAGAACAGTCAGCCTTGCTGGGTGGCAATGGAGTTTTGTCACAGGTGCTGCTGTCCCCAAGGCTCGGCTCGAGAAGGGTGAGACGTTCTTGCACAGTCTGAGCTTGAAGGTGAACAAAAGCAGTATTTTTCATTGTGGTGAAAGGCCCACTGGTGTATTCTGTCCCACAGGCCCTCTGGCCGCCGTATTTTACATAGAGATGCTTTCTGTCTTAGCGCGCTGCAAGGAGTTGGGGCATGACTGCACCTTCCAAGCTCTCAGCAGCCGAATGCTCAGTGTTCACACTCATCTAGATATGTGCACAGAGGGCAATTAGTGCACAAAAGTCACGACAGAAATCTTGGGAAATATCCTTTTGTTTGTCAGGCTGAGGAGCAGGGGCACGGCACAGTGATCTTTATTATGTTTACTCCACTGTGACAGCAATAGTAAAGGTGCTGCTTTTCATCAAGGCTATTGGCTTTGCAATGCCGACCTCTGCCCAACTCCAGCTCTTTTGTGCCGAGGGCCCAGATGGGGATGATGCTGACGTGCTTTGTGCTTTTTCTGCTTGGAAACAGGGAATTTTAGAGGGCAGACCATCCTGAGTGCCATCAGATGTCTCTTACGAGACCATCGAGTGATGAAACACAGCCAGGCTGTCCAGACTGTAAGGGTCCTAATGAATGGGGTTTGGCTGCCAGGCACTGGTGCTGTTCCCCATGGCTCAGTCTTGGGGCCAGCTTTGTTTCACCATTCTGCCAGTGATATGGATGAGGGAATGGAGAGATCCCTGAGGAAGCTGAAAGACAACACCAAGTTAGGTGACAGTGTCAAAGTAGTTGAGGGTAGGAAGGCTCTGCAGAGGGATCTGGGTAGTCTGGATCAATAGAACAAGTCCAGTTGCATGACATTCCACAAGGATGAGCACCACGTCTTGCACTTGGATCACAACAACCCCGTGCAGTGTTGTGTGGCTGAGGAAGATCAGCTGGAAGGTTCTGGGTAGGGAAGAACCTGGATGTGCTGATTGACAGCTGGCTGGACATGAGACAGAAGTGTGCCCAGGTGGGCAAGAAGGCCAACGGCACCCTGACCTGCACTGGAACTGGTATGGCCAAGAGGACTATGGAAGTGACTGTCCCATGGCACGTGGCACTGGTGAGACTGCATCTCGAATGCCCCTCTGCTCTCTGTGCCCACCCTGCGCCACAGTGGTCATCCAGGTCCTTGTCCCCTTCAGCAGACACACATGATGGTGGAGCACAGTGCGCAGGACGTCCCTGTGGCTCTGGGCAGCCTCTTCAAGGAGACATCCAAAGAGACCTCTGGCATGTTCCTCGACTGGGAAGGCAAGTGTTTGTCCAGGTGGCACCAGCTGAGCCCCCATGTCACCTGCTCCCACCCAGGGACATAGGCAGCATTCCCCATTCCCAACCCCAGCATGCAGCACCCTGCACCCCAACTCTGCCTGCAGTGGCTACTCTCTGCTTTGTGTCCCTGACTGCCTGGGCCCAGGTGAGGCAGCCGTGTTGGACGGATTCTGGCCCTTCCAGCCCTGGGCAGCCCATTTCTTGGAGACAGAGTCAGATCCCAATTC